TAGGATGTACTTAAGTATGGTAGGATGTACTTGAGGATGGTAGGATGTACTTGAGGGTGGTAGGGTGTACTTGAGAATGGTAGGATGTACTTGAGGATGGTAGGATGTTCTTGAGGATGGTAGGATGTACTTGAGGATCGTAGGATGTACTAGAGGATGGTAGGGTGTACTTGAGGATGGTAGGATGTACCTGAGGATGGTAGGGTGCACTTGAGAATGGTAGGATGTACTTGAGGATGGTAGGATGTACTTGAGGATGGTAGGGTGCACTTGAGGATGGTAGGATGTACTTAGAGGATGGTATGGTGTACTTAATTATGGTAGGGTGTACTTAAGTATGGTAGGATGTACTTGAGGATGGTAGGATGCACTTGAGGATGGTAGGATGTACTTCAGGATGGTAGGATGCACTTGAGGATGGTAAGGTGTACTTGAGGATGGTAGGATGTACGTGAGGATGGTAGGATGTACTTGAGAATGGTAGGATGTACTTGAGGGTGGTAGGATATACTTGAGGATGGTAGGATGTACTTGAGGATGGTATGATGTACTTGAGGAGTGTAGGGTATACGTGTGGATGGTAGGATGTACTTGAGGATGGTAGGGTGTATTTGAAGATGGTAGGATGTACTTAAGTATGGTAGGATGTACTTGAGGATGGTAGGATGTACTTAAGTATTGTAGGATGTACTTGAGGATGGAAGGTTGTACTTAAGTATGGTAGGATGTACTTGAGGATTGTAGGATGTACTTGAGGATGGTAGGATGTACTTGAGGATGGTAGGGTGCACTTGAGGATGGTAGGATGTACTTAGAGGATGGTATGGTGTACTTAATTATGGTAGGGTGTACTTAAGTATGGTATGGTGTACTTAATTATGGTAGGGTGTACTTAAGTATGGTAGGATGTACTTGAGGATGGTAGGATGCACTTGAGGATGGTAGGATGTACTTTAGGATGGTAGGATGCACTTGAGGATGGTAGGATATACTTGAGGATGGTAGGATGTACTTGAGGATGGTAGGATGTACGTGAGGATGGTAGGATGTACTTGAGAATGGTAGGATGTACTTGAGGGTGGTAGGATATACTTGAGGATGGTAGGATGTACTTGAGGATGGTATGATGTACTTGAGGATTGTAGGGTGTACGTGCGGATGGTAGGATGTACTTGAGGATGGTAGGATGTACTTGAGGATTGTAGGATGTACTTGAGGATGGTAGGATGTACTTGAGGATGGTAGGATGTACTTGAGGATGGTAGGATGTACTTAAGTATGGTAGGATGTACTTGAGGATTGTAGGATGTACTTGAGGATGGTAGGATGTACTTGAGGATGGTAGGATGTACTTGAGGATGGTAGGATGTACTTAAGTATAGTAGGATGTACTTGAGGATTGTAGGATGTACGTGAGGATGGTAGGGTGTACGTGAGGATGGTAGGATGTACTTGAGGATGGTAGGGTGTACATGAGGATGGTAGGATGTACTTGAGGATGGTAGGATGTACATGAGGATGGTAGGATGTACTTGAGGATGGTAGGATGTACTTGAGGATGGTAGGATGTACTTGAGGATGGTAGGATGTACTTGAGGATGGTAGGATGTACTTGAGGATGGTAGGATGTACTTGAGGATGGTAGTGTGTACTTGAGGATGGTAGGATGTACTTGAGGATGGTAGGATGTACTTGAGGATGGTAGGGTGCACTTGAGGATGGTAGGATGTACTTGAGGATGGTAGGATGCACTTGAGAATGGTAGGGTGTACTTGAGGATGGTAAGATGTACTTGAGGATGGTAGGATGTACGTGAGGATGGTAGGATGTACTTGAGGATGGTAGGATGTACTTGAGGATGGTAGGATGTACTTGAGGATGGTAGGATGTACTTGAGGATGGTAGGATGTACTTGAGGATGGTAGGATGTACTTGAGGATGGTAGGATGTACTTGAGGATGGTAGGATGTACTTGAGGATGGTAGGATGTACTTGAGGATGGTAGGATGTACTTGAGGATGGTAGGATGTACTTGAGGATGGTAGGATGTACTTGAGGATGGTAGGATGTACTTGAGGATGGTAGGATGTACTTGAGGATGGTAGGATGTACTTGAGGATGGTAGGATGTACTTGAGGATGGTAGGATGTACTTGAGGATGGTAGGATGTACTTGAGGATGGTAGGATGTACTTGAGGATGGTAGGATGTACTTGAGGATGGTAGGATGTACTTGAGGATGGTAGGATGTACTTGAGGATGGTAGGATGTACTTGAGGATGGTAGGATGTACTTGAGGATGGTAGGATGTACTTGAGGATGGTAGGATGTACTTGAGGATGGTAGGATGTACTTGAGGATGGTAGGATGTACTTGAGGATGGTAGGATGTACTTGAGGATGGTAGGATGTACTTGAGGATGGTAGGATGTACTTGAGGATGGTAGGATGTACTTGAGGATGGTAGGGTGTACATAAGGATGGTAGGATGTACTTGAGGATGGTAGGGTGTATGTGAGGATGGTAGGATGTACTTGAGGATGTACTTGAGGATGGTAGGGTGTACTTGAGGATGGTAGGATGTACTTGAGGATGGTAGGATGTACTTGAGGATGGTAGGATGTACTTGAGGATGGTAGGATGTACTTGAGGATGGTAGGATGTACTTGAGGATGGTAGGATGTACTTGAGGATGGTAGGATGTACTTGAGGATGGTAGGATGTGAGGATGTACTTGAGGATGGTAGGATGTACTTGAGGATGGTAGGATGTACTTGAGGATGGTAGGATGTACTTGAGGATGGTAGGATGTACTTGAGGATGGTAGGATGTACTTGAGGATGGTAGGATGTACTTGAGGATGGTAGGATGTACTTGAGGATGGTAGGATGTACTTGAGGATGGTAGGATGTACTTGAGGATGGTAGGATGTACTTGAGGATGGTAGGATGTACTTGAGGATGGTAGGATGTACTTGAGGATGGTAGGATGTACTTGAGGATGGTAGGATGTACTTAGGATTGTAGGATGTACTTGGATGGTAGGATGTACTTGAGGATGGTAGGATGTACTTGAGGATGGTAGGATGTACTTGAGGATGGTAGGATGTACTTGAGGATGGTAGGATGTACTTGAGGATGGTAGGATGTACTTGAGGATGGTAGGATGTACTTGAGGATGGTAGGATGTACTTGAGGATGGTAGGATGTACTTGAGGATGGTAGGATGTACTTGAGGATGGTAGGATGTACTTGAGGATGGTAGGATGTACTTGAGGATGGTAGGATGTACTTGAGGATGGTAGGATGTACTTGAGGATGGTAGGATGTACTTGAGGATGGTAGGATGTACTTGAGGATGGTAGGATGTACTTGAGGATGGTAGGATGTACTTGAGGATGGTAGGATGTACTTGAGGATGGTAGGATGTACTTGAGGATGGTAGGATGTACTTGAGGATGGTAGGATGTACTTGAGGATGGTAGGATGTACTTGAGGATGGTAGGATGTACTTGAGGATGGTAGGATGTACTTGAGGATGGTAGGATGTACTTAAGTATGGTAGGATGTACTTGAGGATGGTAGGATGTACTTGAGGATGGTAGGATGTACTTGAGGATGGTAGGATGTACTTGAGGATGGTAGGATGTACTTGTAGGATGGTAGGATGTAGGACTTGAGGATGGTAGGATGTACTTGAGGATGGTAGGATGTACTTGAGGATGGTAGGATGTACTTGAGGATGGTAGGATGTACTTGAGGATGGTAGGATGTACTTGAGGATGGTAGGATGTACTTGAGGATGGTAGGATGTACTTGAGGATGGTAGGATGTACTTGAGGATGGTAGGATGTACGTGAGGATGGTAGGGTGTACGTGAGGATGGTAGGATGTACTTGAGGATGGTAGGGTGTACATGAGGATGGTAGGATGTACTTGAGGATGGTAGGATGTACGTGAGGATGGTAGGATGTACTTGAGGATGGTAGGGTGTATGTGAGGATGGTAGGATGTACTTGAGGATGCACTTGAGGATGGTAGGGTGTACATGAGGATGGTAGGATGTACTTGAGGATGGTAGGATGTATGTGAGGATGGTAGGATGTACTTGAGGATGGTAGGGTGTATGTGAGGATGGTAGGATGTACTTGAGGAATGATAGATGCTTCCAAAAACTGTTCTGGTACGTTGTATCCTAAAACTGTTTGCTGGGCTCCCTCCTCTGCTGCATACATGCGGTCCCCCCACACCTGCTGCCCTCTCAAGGTCCTCCCACACCTGCTGCCCTCTCAAGGTCCTCCCACACCTGCTGCCCTCTCAAGGTCCTCCCACACCTGCTGCCCTCTCAAGGTCCTCCCACACCTGCTGCCCTCTCAAGGTCCTCCCACACCTGCTGCCCTCTCAAGGTCCTCCCACACCTGCTGCCATCCTCAGGTCTTCCCACACCTGCTGCCATCCTCAGGCCATCCTTAGTTCCTACCTCCCTGGCTGCCCTCAGTACATCCCCTATCATTCTTCGCGTCATTCTGACCAATCACAGCTCGCCATAATGACACGTGCCTCAATTGGCTTCCACACATGACAGATCACTGTTGACTGCCATCTTTATATTCAAAGAAAGTACAATTTCCTTCCTTTTGGAAACGTGACATCAACACTAAATGGAACATAACTCTCAGCACTTGTAAAACAACAATATACACAGACTAAACATTTTACGATAAAAACGTGGAAAACATTTCAGTATTTAAGTGACAGATATACGTGAAGAAAGTTTATCATAAATTAATGATAGTATTATTGAACACATGCTTTTATATAGGTTGTGGATTTAGGTAATTGAGTGAAGTTACATGCATGTCAGGTAGGAATTAAGTATCTCTACGTATATTAACATTTACTTTAGAACACAGAAACATTGAACTTGTCACTTAAGGTTCCATTCTCTGGATTTTCATACATATTTATACTTACTAGAGACAAAGATATGGACGGGTTCTCACCTTCAGGAATGGTTGTCGGGTCCTGGCTTATGAACTCCTGATATGTAAGGTTGTACACTCCTGTTTCTTTAAGAACTTTCAACATTCCTTCTGAGGGGTCCAGTGCATCTATGTTCCTAGAATGTTATTTGTTATTAAAGTTTTATGGAATACATAAGTCAACAATTTCATTTTGATATATATATATATATATATATGTCGTACCTAGTAGCCAGAACGCACTTCTCAGCCTACTATGCAAGGCCCGATTTGCCTAATAAGCCAAGTTTTCATGAATTAATTGTTTTTCGGCTACCTAACCTAACCTAACCTATAAAGATTGGTTAGGTTAGGTTAGGTAGCGTTGGTTAGGTTCGGTCATATATCTACGTTAATTTTAACTACAATAAAAAAAAATTGACCTCATACATAATGAAATAGGTAGCTTTATCATTTCATAAGAAAAAAATTAGAGAAAATATATTAATTCAGGAAAACTTGGCTTATTAGGCAAATCGGGCCTTGCATAGTAGGCCGAGAAGTGCATTCTGGCTACTAGGTACGACATACATATATATATATATATATATATATATATATATATATATATATATATATATATATATATATATATATATATATATATATATATATATATATATGCGGAAAATCCACAGAGAAATATGAAATGAGGTGAACGTTTCGGCTTGTTAAAGCCTTTGTCAACACCAGACTGACTAAGGAGAAGGGAGAAGGGGGAGGATATATGGGCCGACACCTGACCAACCCATCCCTAGGGAAAGAATTAACCAAAAACAGGTATAGCTTAGCTTAGAATATATGACTGCCATGTTTTTATTCAAAGAAAGTACAATTTCCTTCCTTTTGGAAACGTGACATCAACACTAAATGGAACATAACTCTCAGCACTTGTAAAACAACATTATTGTATATTATTGAAATTTAATAACATAATAATTTCAACAATATACCTGTTTTTGGTTAATTCTTTCCCTGGGGATGGGTTGGTCAGGTGTCGGCCTATATATCCTCCCCCTTCTCCCTTCTCCTTCGACGGGAGACATCTCCCGTCACGCAGGGTGCAGTCGCACCTCCACAGATCTCCAGTATCAGCTATTGATACTGGTAATAGCTCAAAAGGGCCACCACTTACGGGCTATTCATGCCAGTGCCACCTTTTAGGTGGCTGAATCTTCATCAATCAATCAATCCTTCTCTTTAGTCAGTCTGGTGTTGACAAAGACTTTAACAAGCCGAAACGTTCACCTCATTTCATATTTCTCTGTGGATTTTCCGCATAAAATGATCAGTGTTTTGTGATCGTCAATTGCATATATATATATATATATATATATATATATATATATATATATATATATATATATATATATATATATATATATATATATATGCGAACAAGCCTGAATGGTCCCCAGGACAATATGCAACTGAAAACTCACACCCCAGAAGTGAGTATGCTTCTGGGAGTATGGGTTCGAGTCACTTCTGGGGTGTGAGTTTTCAGTTATATATATATATATATATATATATATATAACTGAAAACTCACACCCCAGAAGTGACTCGAACCCATACTCCCAGAAGCAACGCATCTGGTATGTACAAGACGCCTTAATCCACTTGACCATCACGACCGGACAAAATGAGGTGATAGCCGAGGCTATTTGAACCACCCCACCGCCGGCACTCGGATAGTTATCTTGGGCATAGCATTTTACCAAATCACCTCATTCTTTGGGGCAACACGTGAGGAACACAAATGCGAACAAGCCTGAATGGTCCCCAGGACATATGCAACTGAAAACTCACACCCCAGAAGTGACTCGAACCCATACTCCCAGAAGCAACGCATCTGGTATGTACAAGACGCCTTAATCCACTTGACCATCACGACCGGACAAAATGAGGTGATAGCCGAGGCTATTTGAACCACCCCACCGCCGGCACTCGGATAGTTATCTTGGGCATAGCATTTTACCAAATCACCTCATTCTTTGGGGCAACACGTGAGGAACACAAATGCGAACAAGCCTGAATGGTCCCCAGGACATATGCAACTGAAAACTCACACCCCAGAAGTGACTCGAACCCATACTCCCAGAAGCAACGCATCTGGTATGTACAAGACGCCTTAATCCACTTGACCATCACGACCGGACAAAATGAGGTGATAGCCGAGGCTATTTGAACCACCCCACCGCCGGCACTCGGATAGTTATCTTGGGCATAGCATTTTACCAAATCACCTCATTCTTTGGGGCAACACGTGAGGAACACAAATGCGAACAAGCCTGAATGGTCCCCAGGACATATGCAACTGAAAACTCACACCCCAGAAGTGACTCGAACCCATACTCCCAGAAGCAACGCATCTGGTATGTACAAGACGCCTTAATCCACTTGACCATCACGACCGGACAAAATGAGGTGATAGCCGAGGCTATTTGAACCACCCCACCGCCGGCACTCGGATAGTTATCTTGGGCATAGCATTTTACCAAATCACCTCATTCTTTGGGGCAACACGTGAGGAACACAAATGCGAACAAGCCTGAATGGTCCCCAGGACATATGCAACTGAAAACTCACACCCCAGAAGTGACTCGAACCCATACTCCCAGAAGCAACGCATCTGGTATGTACAAGACGCCTTAATCCACTTGACCATCACGACCGGACAAAATGAGGTGATAGCCGAGGCTATTTGAACCACCCCACCGTTTTCAGTTGCATATGTCCTGGGGACCATTCAGGCTTGTTCGCATTTGTGTTCCTCACGTGTTGCCCCAAAGAATGAGGTGATTTGGTAAAATGCTATGCCCAAGAAAACTATCCGAGTGCCGGCGGTGGGGTGGTTCAAATAGCCTCGGCTATCACCTCATTTTGTCCGGTCGTGATGGTCAAGTGGATTAAGGCGTCTTGTACATACCAGATGCGTTGCTTCTGGGAGTATGGGTTCGAGTCACTTCTGGGGTGTGAGTTTTCAGTTGCATATGTCCTGGGGACCATTCAGGCTTGTTCGCATTTGTGTTCCTCACGTGTTGCCCCAAAGAATGAGGTGATTTGGTAAAATGCTATGCCCAAGATAACTATCCGAGTGCCGGCGGTGGGGTGGTTCAAATAGCCTCGGCTATCACCTCATTTTGTCCGGTCGTGATGGTCAAGTGGATTAAGGCGTCTTGTACATACCAGATGCGTTGCTTCTGGGAGTATGGGTTCGAGTCACTTCTGGGGTGTGAGTTTTCAGTTGCATATGTCCTGGGGACCATTCAGGCTTGTTCGCATTTGTGTTCCTCACGTGTTGCCCCAAAGAATGAGGTGATTTGGTAAAATGCTATGCCCAAGATAACTATCCGAGTGCCGGCGGTGGGGTGGTTCAAATAGCCTCGGCTATCACCTCATTTTGTCCGGTCGTGATGGTCAAGTGGATTAAGGCGTCTTGTACATACCAGATGCGTTGCTTCTGGGAGTATGGGTTCGAGTCACTTCTGGGGTGTGAGTTTTCAGTTGCATATGTCCTGGGGACCATTCAGGCTTGTTCGCATATATATATATATATATATATATATATATATATATATATATATATATATATATATATATATATATTATTAAATATGACCGAAATTAATATATTATATTATTAAATATGACCGAAGATTAATAATTCTAACACGAATTTTCTCAATATTTCTTATATTTCTTTTCACTGTTGATGGTAACTGAAAAATCAATTCTCCAAAATTCATTTTTATTTCTAGTCTGACGTGACACTTGAACGTGTTTCGTAATAACTTATTACATTTTCAAAAACTTTTAGTTTACACACACACACAACTATTACCTGCAAACACTAAACAGAGTTCTTACTTATGCTATGATTTAATCTGCTTTCATTTTTCATTTTATACCCGCATTTTGGGTGAGGTGATATGTTACAACAGTTTTGGATGAGGTGAACAAAACTTTCAACACAGGATAAAACACGAAACAATGGGTATTGAAGGTAAGAATGGAAGTAATTGCAGAGGGCCTATTGGCCCACATTTCTTGATGCTTCTATATTGGAGCGGAGTCTTGAAGTGGGTAGAATATAGTTGTGCATTAATTGGCTGTTGATTGCTGGTGTTGACTTCTTGATGTGTAGTGCCTCGCAGATGTCAAGCCGCCTGCTATCGCTGTATCTATCGATGATTTCTGTGTTGTTTGCTAGGATTTCTCTGGTGATGGTTTGGTTGTGGGAAGAGATTATATGTTCCTTAATGGAGCCCTGTTGCTTATGCATCGTTAAACGCCTGGAAAGAGATGTTGTTGTCTTGTCTATATACTTTTTTGAGGCTTACAGTCCCCAAGAGGGCATTTGAAGGCATAGACAACGTTGGTCTCTTTTAAAGCGTTCTGCTTTGTGTCTGGACAGTTTCTCATGAGTAGGCTGGCCGTTTTTTTGGTTTTATAGTAAATCGTCAGTTGTATCTTCTGATTTTTGTCTGTAGGGATAACGTTTCTATTAACAAAATCTTTCAGGACCCTATATATATATATATATATATATATATATATATATATATATATATATATATATATATATATATATATATATATATATATATATATTATATATATATATATATATTTTATATATATATATATATATATATATATATATATATATATATATATATATATATATATATATATATATATATATATATATATATATATATATATATATATATATATATATATATATATATATATATATATATATATATATATATATATATATATATATATATATATATATATATATATATATATATATATATATATATATATATATATATATATATATATATATATATATATATATATATATATATATATATATATATATATATATATATATATATATATAGAAAGCATTTGAGTATATATTGTGAAAGGGAAGAATCAACAGCAACAAAGCAAGGACTCCGGCTCATGTTGGGTACATTGTGTATTAGAGCCGATTCAACAAGACGGCGTCTGTGTAGAGAGAGTAGAGGCAGGAAAGATTATTTTGGCGGAAGACCAATCTTCCTTGACCAATCTTGATTG